AGTATATATATAATATACATATACTGAAGTCTTAAGTAAGTTCCCTTGAAAAGTGAAGTGATCCAATATAAAGAAACGTACGAAGTCGACCATACGACCATAGTGCGTGTGCACATAAAAACCCCAAAGCAAACCCAATGCGGTCCAGTTGTTCCCGACTCCCAGTGACCCCGTAGTACAGAGTAGAACTGTCCCAGAGGGTCTCCAAGGCTGTCATCCATCCAGGAGCAGACCACTTCGTCTCTCCTGTAGGATGGCTGGGGGATTTGACAGATGTGGCAAAAGACATGACGTCTAAAGCTTGTGAAATAGTCGCTCCAGTTGGTAGATTTTTTGTGTTTCTGCTTTGTTTCCCAATCAGAGGGAAGATCAAGTCCCAGATACCTTTAAAGTATCTACTGTGCTGATTCAGTTTTGGTCAGAAGTAAATCCGTGTCAAATAAAACCTTGTCAGAGGGAGGACTCTGCTCTCCAATAAGTCTTTTTCTTAAGACGTGCCACCTTGGCACTGTGGATGGGTGCACATCAGTGACATTCGTTACCCTGGAGTCCTGGGGTGGCGCTGTGGGATAGTGCACTGGACTGCAAGGTTGGCTTGAACCACAAGGTTGGAAACCCCATACAGGGTCACTGTGAGGCAGAATTGACTTGACAGCATTTAACAGCACCTTTTCCATGGAACTAGAGCCCTGCTGTGGCGCTGTGGGTTAATGCGCCAGGCTATAAAGTTGTTTGAACTGCAAGGTTGGTGGTTCAAGCTCACCAGCTGCTCCTCAGAAACCCTATCCAGGGTCTTTATGGGTTGGAACTGACTCAGTGGCACTTAACAACAACAACATTTCATAGAAGGAGCCTTGATAGCATCGTGTTTATGCATTGGGCTTCTAACTGCAAGGTCAGCAGTTCGAATTTACCAGCTACTCCTTGGGAGAAAGATGAGGCTTTCTACTAAGAATTACTGCCTGGAAACCCAATACAGGGTCTCTATGAGTTGGAACTGATTTGATGTCACACCACCATAACCACTACCATTCCATGGTATGGCTATGCCCAGTCAAATATGTCTTTTTAAAAAAACCTATGACTCAAAAGATAATTTGTCAAGGAACTGGGAGTCCAGGTGTGGTGCTGTAGGATAAAGACTGGACTGCTAACTCCAAGGTCAGTGGTTCAGATCCATCAGCCACTCCTTGGAAACCCTATTCAGGGTCACTGTAAGTCAGAACTGACTCAGTGGTACTTAACAACAACAACAACATGATTCCTTGCTACAGCTAGACCACAGAACATATGTGTTTAAAAAACCCTGAGACTCAAAAGATACTTTGTCAATGAATTGGCGAGGAGGGGGTGGGAAGGTGGGGTGACAGGCAAACTATGGACTCCAACAGCTAGTTCTCGACAAAGCCACGTCATTTCTATTCTGGGGTGGCTTTAGTCTTCCAGCCACATCACCTAGTCTGTGTTAGCTTTCCCTGCTGCTGCATTAACCCCTGACACAGAGAGAGCCGGTCTTAACTTCAGCTTCCCAAAGACTGAAGGAGTTGTCTGAAAGCCAGTGAGCACATCTTTGGGGCCTGTAACAGAAACTGTCCTTTGTGGTTCCTTGGGATAAAAGAAGAAGTTCACTGTGTACTGTTCTCTGGCTCTGCTCCTACCTAGAGGCGATCTCCGAGGCATCAGACATGAAGGAGGCGATGGAAATCATGCCCCAAACGCTGGAGTATGGCATCATAAATGGTGATGTGCTGCATTTTCTGAAGGACATCATAGGCCAGGTACATGGGGACAAAAGGAGAAATCCCCTTGTGAAGACTAGGGCTACTGGATCCACTGATTCCCCACACCAAGCACTGTCGAGGGCACTGTGGGTGGAGCCGGGAGCAGGCAGAGGCTTCCATTCGGGGAACATCTCTAGAGACAGACAGAGACACAGGAAACTAGTAAGTTAGGCTGGAGGGAAATAAACCCTGGTGTCCCCAGGTGGTGTAAACTGTGCAGGTTGGAGGTTTGAGCCCACCCTCAGGCATGTTGGAAGAAAGGCGTGCTCATCGACTTCCTAACAATCAGCCATTGAAAACCCTTTGCAGCACTCTTGGACTGACACACATGAGGTCGTCACGAGTCAGGACTGACTAGAAGACACCTGGGGGGGAGGGGTCCTCAGTTCAATTTCAAAAAGACAGTGTCCCCAGAACTTTGTTTTTTCCTGTCACATAAGTAAGTGTGCTGAGTGTCCATTTCTTACTGGTGCTACCATTTCTAACATCCCAACTGGTGGCAGCTAAGGCGATACAGTCTTGTTTCCTGGGAGGTTAACCTGCGGTCACAACTGCGCCAACTCACAACAACCCAGTAGCACCCTGAAGGCTTCCGAAACGCCATCTTTTTGTTTTTTAAAGGTTTTTATTGTGGATTGAGTGAAAGTTTACAGGGTAGATCATCTGTTTTACATTCAACAAATCACCTTGTTTTATTACAATGATTATAATCCCCTTCATGGACCATCAGTTAACAGTATTTCTCTCTATTCACTTAAGCTTTTTTGTTTTTTTTTATAAAAAAACAAAAACAAACACATACTCAGGCATATATAATAGTTTACACCATGGTCGAGACTCCACCTTTAAGAGAGCACTGCTGAGAGGCTGGGGGATTTGAACTGCCAACTTTCAGTTAACCGCCCAGTCCTTAAGCCACTGCGCCACCAGGCCTCCTTGTGTCGTTGTTTTCTTAGATCCCCTGCAGTCTAGTCCGACTGTTCTCTCTCTCAAGTCTGTGCTTAGAACTCAAGTAGTTTTCACTTTGCCGTTGCATGTGCCCCTCATACTGTGAAATCTCTAAAGTCACGCGGTGAAAGAGCTTAGATTATTGAGAATGACCTTGTGCAGTGAACTTGGCTTTCCAGGTTTTTTTGCCTGCTTTGTCCTTCAATCAACACAAGATGGACACGAGCACGGGATTAACAGACGGTTTCGAATTTTCCAAGTACGACATAGACCTGCCCAGCCTGCCGGGTGAGGTGGTGGAATATCACAGCGCCCAGTTAGTGCGGGATGAATTTCTGATGAACATTCAGAAATTTGTCAGCAATATTCAAAGAACCAGGCAACAACTTGAAGGTATAGCTCTCTCTCCCTTAATTACCCAAACCCAAACCCTTTCCCGTTCCGTCTATGCGGCCTCAGAGTTTACCCGATAAGACAGACTCTGACTGCCCCTGAGGGTTTCCGAGGCTGTAAAGCTCCATGCCCACAGACCGACACATCTGTCTGGTAGATTCCAAGCACCAACCTTGTAGTTCTCACTGAGCTTATAAACCACTGTACCACCAGGAAGAGTGATGGATTTAAGAGGCAGCTTAAGAGTTCAGGAGACCTTTTTTTGGGGAATGCGTGCTAAGTCTGGCCTGCATGTTCACTGTTTTGACTAGAGTGGCTTTTCTCCTCCTAGGCGAGATCAAGTTGGAAATGCCCAGCATTAGTGTGGAGGGAGATGTGACTGGGCTTGCAGCTGACCAGGAAATCGTGGACGTGTTGGAACAATGTGTCATCAACTGGTTGAATCAGATCTCGACAGCTGTTGAGGGTCAGCTGAAGAAGACGCCTCAGGCAAGTTGAGCAGTGCTTTCCATGACCCCTGAGAAAGAGTCAGGGAGCCGGGAAGCTGCATGCTCACAGTTTTGTGACCTTCATAAATGATCAACATGAACAAACCTGAGCGGTCGTCCTTTGGCTAGAATTCTAGCATTAGTGTGTTACCTGAGTGGTACCTAGGTTAATAAAGGTAACACTGTGTGTGCATCAGTTAGAATGCTGGAGATGTGGAACTCAGGAACCCTGCTCAGCTGACTCTGACTAGAAAGGGAACTCATTGGCTCACATGAGTGAAAAGACTAGAATCGGTTCTTCTGGCTTCAGGTGCAGTTTGATCAGGCTGCTGGCTGTGTTTTTCTGTCATTCTCTCAGATCCAAACTTCTCTCTGTGGGGGCTTCTTCCTCAGGCTGGGTTCCTTCATAGGAGCACCTTGAGCAGCAGTTTCTGGCTCCATGTTCACACAACACTCTCTGTAAAGGCCAAGAGTGTGCCTTCTGTCATGCACTTCCAGTCTCAGTCCTGAGAGTCACTGTTATGGGGCTGTCGTAGGGCAGGGCCACCCTGCACCAGTCACCAGCAGAATGGCTCTGATTGACCCTTGTGTGGGGCACCTTAAGAGAGCAGTGGATGCTGGGAAGCAACCCTAGGTGCCCCATCCACTCCAGTGATTAGACTTGTCTGTGTTCACAACGCCTCTCAGGGGAATGGGCCTTTGGCTGAAATTGACTTCTGGCGCGAAAGAAACGCAACCCTAAGTGCACTCCATGAACAGACGAAGCTCCCAGTGGTCAGAAAGGTTTTGGAGGTGATCAAGGAAGCAGACTCAATGCTGGTGGCCAATCTGCAGCCAGTCCTGACTGACCTATTCAAGTTCCACATGGAGGCCTCCGACAACGTGCGCTTCCTCTGCACCGTGGAGCGCCACTTTAAGGTATGCCGGGCGTCTGACACCAGGCAGCACCCCCTGAGTGTCCTCTGCACTATGGAGCGCCACTTTAGGGTATGCTGGGCTTCTGCCACCAGACAGCGCCCCCTGAGTGCCCTGTGCTAATGGGGCCCACTTTAAGGTATGCCGGGCAACTGCCACCAGACAGCGCCCCCCCGAGTGCCCTGTGCTAATGGGGCACCACTTCAGGGTATGCTGGGCACCTGATACCAGGTAACACCGCTGCCAGGCAGCATCCCCCTGAGTGACCTGTGTTAAGCTCATCGTTCCTGTCTCCCCTGAGTTTCGCATGCATGACTACAACATGATGAGGCCAAGAACTGTGATTTTTCTCCCAATAGTGAAGCCAGAAAAATTCCTCTTTGCGTATGTGTGTACATATATACTTTATATGCATACATATATGATATGATGGGGCTTCAAAAAACTCGTGGAAAATGGGATCAAAAGATAATGGACTTTTTCCACAAAAATTTTGAAGCTTCCTCGTATATGTACTCTCTCTCTCAGTATACATGTATACTCAATATACATACATATTTAGCCACCTGTACATAGATACTCAGTATACATTCATATATAGCCTACTTGTACATATATACTCCATATACATACATATATAGCATACTTGTACATATATACTCAATATACATACATATATAGCCTACT